CGTTTTAACTTTTGGCTTTCTCGCCAGCCGGGCCTTTAACTGCCGATTAGTTAAATTAACTTTCCCCCAAGTCGAGCCCGTTTTGCCCGCGACAGCCACTGGCAAGTGATTTCTCCGTCTTTATCTTGACCCGCGAGCTTTTTCATCCTATTGTCTCCCCCCGTCTTGTTAAGGAGGGGCTGGGTCAGCACCCGGCTGCAGTCCAAGGTCAACTCACGGCACTACGGCAGGCATTTAATTCTTTCCTTTGCTGCCAGTAGAGTTATTAACCTTTACTTGTAGAGCATCTCGGCTCTCTTTGATCCTTCTCACCTCCAGCATCTTCATTGATTTTCCTTCTCTCCAGTCACAGCCAAAAAGGGCCTATACAAGCATTTTTTTCTAAAGCTCTTTTAGAAGTCTGTGTATATAAATTAAGCAAATTTCAGCATTACCTACTACAATATTGCTTGCTAAATAAGGGCATACAGTATAGTTCTGTATTTCATTGAAGTTATTGCAAGAACAGCAGCAAAATTTGTCACAATCTTGATGCAGCTTTCTTCACTGCACTTTTTGTTGCCAAGCTCAGCGAGCACGGTGGAGCTGCACAGCAAGCAGGATTGCACTCTGCACCAGAGCTCGGTGTAAAACTGCTGCGAGGCCTTCTCTTGGTGGCAGAAATGAGGAAGATCAAGGAGACAACTCCCCCTGTCCTCTAAACCTTTCCTCACCTTGCCAAGCAGGAAGCAGAGAGGGGGAAAGCAGCAATTCATCTCTGGGTCCACTCTTCCTTTCTTTTTCCTCTTCTTTCCTTCCTTTCCTTTTCCATTCTTCCTTTCAGTCAGCCAGAAACTTGTTGGTAAGTGGAACAAGAGGAATTTGTGAAAAGGGAATGAAAGAAGATGGACAGCGACTGGAAGAGACACTAAAGAATATATAACCATTTGTTATCTTTCACTGGGTGTATCACATAGAATGTTGGAGTCACGGTGTTTTTCAGCTATTAACTAGCTAGCTATTAAGTAAGCCCACAGGCAAGATGTTTGTCTCACTAGAGCACACGCAGTATGTTTGGGTCAGCTACTTCTAGAGGCATCCCAAAAAATAACAACAATAAAAATAACAGCCTGTCTCTATCACAACCAATTGCTTGTGAACTGCAAATCTAACGTTTCAAAAATTTCAAGTAGCTACAGAGATTATTACAACACTGCACCTCAGAATTTGTTCACTATTTTTAAACACAAGAAACAAACTAAATCACACACTCAGAAGTTATGAGATACAAATATCTTTATTTCCATAAAATCATAATACTATAAAAGTATGTAGTTTTAACTTCGGATCACTCTCCACCCCACCCCGGCCCCGAATCCTCCTACCAATGTATACTTTGGAACATTTTTGCAAGATAACACTACACAATCTTATTTGGTTTATTTTCATACTACTGTGCAAAGCATTCAGTAGGGTATCTGCAGGTTTTGCTTAAGAGGATGCACAATTCTTATTACTGCATTTCCAGTACCAGTCAGATAGAAGAAAACTGCACCTTTAAAGCATTTCTGTATATGTTGCTTTCCAGCAATGTCAGTAACTGTTGCCAATAACTGAATCATTCAAAACTATATAGAATTTTGCTTTACAGATTAGACCACTGGTTTAAGTGCAGCATCTTACTTCTCAAAGTATCTCAGGCCTTCAGCTTTAACGAAGAAAGAAAACATGCATGTTCAAAACCACAATGATGTAAACACACAAACCCACCCTTTCTCTTGACCGCTACATCAGTTAGGCTCCAAAGTGAGAAACCTTCAATGCAACGTCCTCCCACAGGAAGATTCTCACAATGCACAAAACTCTAGAAAGAGGGAGCCCCACTGAAGCAGGCTGTACACTTGGGTACACATCCAACAGGGTGAAGAAGTAACGTGCTTGGAAATGCTCATCAGCACA